CGCTGATCGACATCCAGTCTTTTTTCTACTCCTCTATTCTTGTAAATATTTACGCACTGTTGGCACTGTAAATAAATCTCACTGCTTGCACCGAAGCCAGCCGCCTGGGTCTGTTGTTTTCTCCGCTCGCTCATCTGTGTGTCGATCGTTTCTAACACAGTAGTCTGTCGACTTTGATCCGGCAGATGTGTCCGGAAGAAAATGGGGTGTGTCCAGGTAAATTTTGGGTGCACTGGTAATATGATGGTGCACAAAGTGACTGTGCCACTGCACCAGCAAAAAACAGGTCAACAGTCAAATCATCATTGCTAGTTACTGGGTGCTTTGACTATGTTGTGATGCGCACTTATCCAGGTGCATGAACTCTGCTTGTTATAACCAATAGCCGTTACATCTTGATCAGACACTGGATCCTCACAATTTTGCTCTAAGTGTTAACCAAATCATAGTGTGCTCACGTATATTTAAGCTGTGACAAACAATCAATTTGAGTTTGTGGCACTGCTTAGGGTCATTTAGAGTTTGTAGCAACATGCAGAGCACTGTGCTATACATAAAAACTTAGGAGGCGGCATGAATAAAAACTGACGCACCAAAGGAGGCACCCAATCAAACAACAATATAATTGTCCCAAGGAGTGACAAGCAGCACCATAATAATCTCTTTAAGTCTTTAACAAAGATTTTAAAAACAGCGAGTGAGGAGGCCAACCTAATATGAAGGTGTTGATTACCAGACTGTAGTAGGCAGTTCTGTTCTATGTAACCATCTATAATCAGAGGGAGTAACATGTGAACACACACACCTACTAGCAGTTTGAAAGCACATAGGATTAGTATTATATTAGTATACAGTATAACATAAGTATATAAATTCTATAAGGATCATATGGACAGCTACCTAAAAGCATTCTTAACTGTGAATTTGCTGGTCTCAGTAAATACAATATGCATGTATTTGAGTGTGTATGCACGTTGGTGTGTACAGGCTTATGCATGCAGCGCTGTTTCACATTGGTCACAGAACCTCTCTCTCTTTCTCTTCTCTTCCTTCGTTTCCTCACAAAGCAATAAGCCTGCTTTAAAAATGCCTGGAACTTCCACAAAGAGTGTCTCTGCGTGACTACACATGTTTGTGGATAAAAAAGAAAGTAAGATACAGTAAATATGGCTGCATTATTGAAATGTTTGGCCTCATGTATTTTACCAGACCTATAAGTAATTACCTTATGTTGGAATCCGCTGGGTTATCCATGACTGGGCCCCCGACACAGGCCATGTTGTTCCTGGTACCAAAATATACCCTGCTTAATCAAAAATGTGGAGAAATGGGTAGACTGGCTGTTGCTTTAAATATTTTTCCATCTGGAAATTATGAATTACAGGGACACAAGTGTCACTAGTTGCTGTTTACCCAGTGTTTTACTGTACATCTCATATGTGTCCCAAATGTGGAATCAAAAGTAAGAAAACTAAATTGTATTTTACTCAATACAGTGAGTTTAGATGTTGTCTATGGTTAATGACTTTTTGAAATGTAGTTGTTTTCTGACATTTCTATTATGAAAACTGTTCTGTGTGAAACCTTAGGTGACTTTGGTCCAATCTAATCACAGACCTAGATGAACACACAGGAACATATGAGAAACAGCCCCTTCAAATTTTGTATGAGCCACAAATCCATTTATGAGGGAGATGTGACCGCTGTCTGGAGACACCTCTGGCAGCTCTTCTCTTATTTTGTCTTCTACTCTCTTCTGAAAAGTGTTAATTCTTTTTCTCTTCTTTTGTCCTCCTCTCCATCTCTGGACCCCTCTTCCTCAGAGAGACATAAGCCCAAACAGATTTGAAGATTTTTAGCAGTGCATTCCTTTCTTTTCATTTGAATGTTTCCTTACTTCCCCACTCCGTTGTCCTCAGGCTGAGGGGGCAGGACCAGACATTGACCTGTAGACTTGGGCATACCAATGTACAAATGTTTTAAATGGAGACATTGCTTTTGAGTGATGCAGAAGTATTTGATATCTTTCATGAAAAGATAGGGAAGAACAACTTTCATGAATTGGAACTGGATGATAGAAAGCAAAATACAGAAAGACAGGAGTGAAAGAGGTCCAACTCATCTCCAAAACTTCTTCTTTTGAGCAAAGTAACAACAATAATAATTTTGTAAGTCTGTTTCCATTATTATTGTTAGTGTGTGATGTTGTATTAATGAAATATCATACCTTATTTTAATTATATATTCATTATAATGTTGAATGTTTGTTGACATGTGTTCATGTTTTTATCTGAGCTAATTTTGTCAAAGTGTGTACATAAACCTGTGTGTGCAAAAAAATACATAGACCAGAAAAAAGTAGGTTTGGTGCACCAGTTGATGTGCTTTGGGAAAACAGCCGATTGGATGCAAGAATAAAAAACAAAGAACATGCGAACAGAGCTTAAAGCTGTTTATCGCCGAGATCATGTTTATCTCTCCTCTTGTGGTATCCAGCAGGAGACACCACACACATGCACACAGCAGACTAAGCATCAAAAAGAGCAGCACTGCTGTGTGTTACAATGAGATAGGTGTCAGGTCACTTGGGGCCACAGCCGCCGAGCCAGGTTGGTAATTACTTTGGTCTGGACTGAAATGACAAATCTGCAGCTTTGCAGCTCCTGGTCTCACTGAGCCTGAGATAAGCTCCACAGAGTGATACCCAAGCTCCTCACCCAGCTCTGTCTCATTCTGGTGAAACCACAAGGTCGAGAAGGCGGCGGTAAATCAATAACAAGCAAGCATGTGCTTAGCCTTTTTATCTCTATTTATCTATTTATAGTCAGTTCTTTTAGTTTTTTATTTTATTATAGATTTTTATTGGAGTAAGGGTTACTTTATAATTTTTTGATTAAAATTGCTTCAAGCATTTCAGTCTGACCAGAAAGTAACATGTTGTACTTATTATGGTATCCTAAATAATCAGATTGGGCAAAATGATCTTGGTACAGATTTACCACCAGCAAACTCAAGCATTGAGTTTAAAGCCATATTTGTCTATAAATCCACTCTTTGTGTTTTATTCAACATGTATGTCACTGCCAATGTGACCAATCAGTATTCTATTTATTTAAAAATGAGAAACTGTGACTGGATATTGAAGTAAAAGCATACAGTTGGTCATTTGGCAGTCTCACATTACTGGCTGTGATCAAGCCTCTAAACACAAAGCACACACACACTTGTGTAAAGATATAGATAAGTTGCTGCCCTAGTGCATGACAACCCTTCTCGTGGCTCTGTAATAATCACAGAGTAGCAATAAAGTAAAAATACACATTGTTTATACTACATTTCCTCTAGCATGTATGTGCCTATGGAAGCATAGGCATAGCAACACATAGCCACAAGGACAAACACATTGACATACATAAACATATGTATATACGCACATAAAACCGTCAGTGTGTGAGTTTCCACTTTGGGCATCAAACCCCACTCTCTCAAGTTGTTGATATTGGGTTTTCTTTCCTTCTCTCTTGTTTTTTTGAGTGTTGCCAGGGACCATGTTCCAAACCCATATGTATGCTGATGTTTTTACAAGACTTAGTCGCTCACACACACAGACACACATATCCTGCACATAGAGATATGTAGCCCTGGATGACCTACAGTACATGTTGTCTAAGGCAGACAGCCAGGGTGGAGCTGATGGTGAACCTGGACCAGCGCCTTATGATTTAAACTGCTGTCTTCACTGGACATTTACTGATGGAGACACCATTATAAATGTTATGTGAAGGTGCTTCAACCCACTGTCATGAATAGTTTAACATATTCTGTAAGGTCAAGTGTGTGTTTATTGTTATGTGTGTGTCAGTTTTAAACCAGGGACTTGAATCAAAGTAGCCTGCAAGTAAAGATAAAAGCCTTCAGAGCTGTAATATATATTGTGAGAAAACCACAGATTACAGATTCATGTTGATGAAATGTGCAATGTATTATGTTATAGAAAATAAAGAAAAATCATGTTGCACCTAACAAACATTTGAACACAGTTTCTGTGTTTTATTTGAGAAACAGGCTACCAGCACCAAATCAAATGTTCACAAGTGTGAGCACATACACACACACATACACACAGACAGACATACATGCCATATGTGGACACACCTGTGTACCTCATCCTCTCACCAAGTTATTCACACAAACACACGAGTCTAGGTTTTCCTATGACAGAAATTTTGATGTCTAGTATGGAATCACAACACCATTTTAAACACATTCCCAATCTAACAGCCTGAACTGGTTCACTGTAACATTTATACTGTGCACACATTCAGCACATACCATTGCTTGTGTGTGTATATTTAGTGGTATTCAAGTGGTAAAGGAATGTATTAACAGCCACCAGCACACTTGACTACATGACGCAGACATGTACAAGCAGTATGTTCTCATTGGTGACACTGAAACATGTGCATTTGCATGTAGTTGAAAAACTCCCACAAAAAACACCTTTACTTGCATATAATCTGTTTCTCATGCATACATCCATGTGCACACACACACACACACACACACATACACACGTAGATGCAGAAGCTCGCATGCATGACGTATGTTTAAACAACTGTTCGCCATAGGAATATAGGAATATAGGATAGGAATATACCCATACATATATGCACAGATTAGATGTACATTTACAAAAGTGGACAAAGTTTCACATTACACACAGCATGGTCATTGTTCCAGGCATTCCCAAAGTCCTTTGGACCTTTAACTGCAACTGTCTGACAGATTAGTCTCAAAATCAACTTCAACTAAATAAATCAAAATGTTGTTTTAAAATACTGACAAAAGTTTGGTGTGTAAAGTTTAAATTATTCTATTACAGTTTTTGGGAATCATAAATTCAAACTATGCTCAGGGTCAGGTCTAAGCTAGCTAACTCAATTTCCCAGAAGGCAGTGCTAAAAGGACGTCGGTAGGTGACGCGGCGTCTCAGCCAATAGTGTCCTTCTATACACGGAACTTCGGGTGAAGAGGGAAGTTTAGTCTGTTAGTGTGGCGCGACGAAATTCTGCGTGTCTTGTGTTAAAACATACATAATAAATGTATATTAGCTGACTTCTGCTCTGGGAAGATTCCGGTTTGGTGGCCGTACGCCTTATTCACACGTAAGTCCACATTTTAGGTGACTGCATACTACAGTTATTATATGATTGTCTAGTGATAAACTTACTAAGACGCTTAGCTGAAATAACTGTATAACTCCTAGTAAAGTTGGACGAAAGTTATTCCATTTAATGTGTATACACAATTTGACACAGCAGCAGGATTTTTGCAGGTCTTTTGTATCTTTAAATTAAGGTGACACAGTTTGTCATCATGTGTAACAGCAGAGTGTAGGAAATACTGGCATCCTGTGGTGCCGTGAAGTTGTTGCACCCTGATGAAGGTAGTTGTGTGTGAAAGAACTGTAACAATTACAATTACAAAAATACTAAGTAAAAGTCATAGATACGAGTGAGTTTTAAAATGAAGTTTAAATGAAGATACTTGGAGCCTGAACAGCAAAGGACCAGAAAGAGCTTTGGTGACAAAGTGAGATTTAGGAATCATCAGTAGGGCCCTGACAGACCATTTCAAACAGCCATGAGGCTCATAGGGAGTTAGCAGGTAACAGATATGATCAGGAGCAGGAACATATCATTGTAAACCGAATATATCTGAGTCCTGGATAACTTGCTGGATCAAGCACTTTGGACCTTGGGCTTTTGGAAGCTGTGATAAGTTGAGCTGAGGGATTTAGTTGTTGTTATTTAATGAGGTATTTATTCTTTAAGTCTGTGGAAAGACTGTTTGTTATTCCATCATTTGGTGTTTTGAAGCTAGTAATCGAGAGCGCTGTTAATACAGTTATCCAAAATCTTTAATAGGTGTTGAGATCTGGTAAGTAGGAAAGCACAAGATGTGATTCATGCATACTCAACGAACCATTCAGTCGCCCTTTGGGCTGTGTGTGTTTGCAGCTGTAAGCTATTGGTTGTGTTTCTTCACTCATTTATCCAGGTGTGTATTTACATGTGGGTGCATGTATACATGCAATAAATGTTGCATTTTCAGAGCAAAATTATGAAAAAAATGTAGAATTAGATTATCATGAATTAGTTGAATGAAACCGCTGCTTTTGTGACTATTACTGAGATAGTGTAAGCAAACTGAAGTAAAGCTATTCAAAGTGATGATTAACTGATTTGATTATACTGAGATAATGTAAACAGTCCCATAATTGGAACAGCAAACTTATCTTTACCTGATTTCCGCAAACATAGTTGAACTAACCTTCAAAAGTGTTGTCAAAAGTGTTTGTGTGCACAAATATAGTTTATCTGTTTGACATGCTTTTGCACTGTGTAAGTACAGTATTTATGCCTGTCTATCTGTTTGTAACTATCTGTGTGTAGCTAGAAATTGTGGGTGAGAACATCTGCTGCTTAGGTATTCAGTATGCGCTTTTTCCACCTCTGCTTTACTGAAAACTGAGCTGCCAACACAAGTCAACAAGAGGTGTTTGTTCCTCATTTGGTTGGTTGGTTTTTTTTTTTTCTTCTTCCCTGAAAATTTGTTTTTATATATTCACATCCGGGAGCCATAGGGGCTTTCTAGCAGAGATGATGGCAGCACATTAAACAAATCATGTGTAACGAGGTTCTTATAAAACACAACCTTGTGGTGTCCCACATAGACCTGCCATTAAAGCAAAAAACAACAAATACTCACACACACCATTCTCCAGTTATAAACAGACATGAAACACATCCTTACACACACTTGTTGAAAAATGTACTATTTATTTCTCAGTAGTGTGTGTGTGTGTGTGTGTGTGTGTGTGTGTGTGTGTGTGAGAGAGAGAGAGAGAGAGAGAGAGAGAGAATGCTTAATTGCCTAGAGCTTAAAAGCTTGATCATTCACTTGTGGTATTAAGAGCTTAATGTAACCAGATTAGCACACTTTGCTTCCATTTATTTTCCACTTATTATTATATTATCTGCTGTCATAGAAAGTAGTGGCTGCTATGAGCCACACGTGCACGTAATGTAAATAACTGATGTAGATTTGTTCAGATGTTTTTGTTATTTTGGCAAATGTACAAAGAGCGTAGCATAGGCAGTTTAGTAGGCTGCATTTTAAAAATATATTTTAATATATATATATATATATATATTTGCTTAACTCACTTTTGACAGTTACATAACAAAAATATTATATAATTTGAATTTTGTGTTTATCCATAATAAATCCTGCATTGTTTATATCCATGTTTACTAGACAGCAGTCATCTTCACTGCCTTTGTCTTTTAGGCCTTTTCTACTGTAAAAACCTCCTGACTCATAACAGAACATGTACCCCTTGTCACAATTTGTAAAACCCTGAATGTCTTTACAATACTAAGAATGCAGATATTAAAACAAAGTCAGAATCACAATGTAAAACTGTTGCCATTGCTCAGCTCAGCTATAAAATAAAAAAAAGAAGACCCAATGATAAGATGCTTTCTTGTTTGTCTAACCTTTAGACTTGATGAGAGCCACCTAGCTTCTGAAATTCACCAGGACAAAAAGCCTAATGGCTCAGCAACAACCACCGATCCAGTCCCAACAAACATCAGAGCCCTTGCTGAACGTCCAGAGGATGCAGTTCTGGCTGGAAAAAGTGGTGTGTTGGGGACAGGCTGGCAGTCCAGACATCCAAAAAGACATCTGCCTGCACTTGCGTAGACTACAGGGTTTCCTCCAGCAGCTCGTCTCACATATCAACAACATGGTGAGCAGATATCATGAAGAGCGGAGCTCATGTCTTTATAACCATTATTTTGTTAACTTTGTACATAGCAAAGGAAGCTTTGAGATTTTTATTCCTCACAAATTCAGATACTCCTGGTTTTACACTGTACTTCCCAGATAAGTCCAATTAAATGCTTCATGTTCACGAAGAGGTCTTCTTTCACAGCCTCAACACACCTTACCTAATGAAGTATATTATAACAGTTTAACAGTAGGGCAAACCAGCCAAAGCCTTCTAATTAATCAATCGCTATGTTAATTCAAACACGAGCACGTCTAGAAAACACACACATATGCGCTCTCTGTCTGAGCCAGGGCATTAACAGTAAGCCCAGCGTTATAGGGTCCTGCTAACAGGGGCTTCTCTGTGCTGTGTAGAGGCTGTGTATGTTTGGCTGGCAGTGCTTCAGTGTTGAGTTAGTCAGGTAATAGCCGCAATGGGACCTTCAGTGCTAACCTAATGTATCCCCATATCAGGTCCAGCAAATATGGGAAGGGGGCAGAGGACAGGAGGGGTGCAGGACTGTGAGATTTCATTATTACTAGAGCATTTTCTTCCAACTTTCCTCCAGTATTTGCTCCTCAGGACTTGATGTCTCACTACTTTATATGACAGTTTTTCCTCTTGTATTTTTCTTTTTCACATAACTCCTTTTCTCATATAAGAAATATTTTTCTTGTCAATCTTACAGTCATGCTGCTCTTACAGGTTTCTCAGAATGTATGGAGCATATGGTCTGACTGTACTATAACTCTAATTATGGTTAGGATCAGTCAGTGTCTTAGTTTTACTTTCTGTTTTCTCTTTGTTTCAGCAATTAGCCATACATTTTATAGATTGAGCACTCACTGTTTATTATTTCTATCTATTTCCTGTTTTAGCATTATGATGTTTTTAGCATCATGCAGAGGTATCACTGTGTGTAGGATGATGGAACAGAAAGAATTGTGTAGCTTAATTGGGTTGAAAGTCTTTTTTTTTAAGCTAATCGATTATGGCTCAGAGACAGTAGTGTTTTTCTCACGTTGTCCATAAACTTGTCCAATTTGTCTCCACAGCTGGTGCATAATCATCACAGTCATCATAGTCAGTACTATCTGAGAAGTCTGTCCCTAATAAAAACAAGATTGTCTCAAAACCCGTTTGTAATTAAAGACACCGCTGCTGCTGACAAGGCTTTGAAGATGATTTGGCCCTGGTAGTCAGTGATAATTGCTTTCTATTGCAGTGGCTCTTCCCCCAGCCACAGAGCTGTGTAGTTCCTATTGTAAATGAACATTCCTCTTTGGTTGCATCACCAACACACAAATGTATAGTCACGCAGACACATTTACCATGTGGCATTGGATTGATAGGAAAGCTGAGTGTAGGGCTGTGTTCCAAGCATTACTAGTGTTGTGGGGACATTTAGAGAAATTCTACTTGCCCCTGACCATTCTGCTTCTCATTAATTGTGATCTCATCCACTTGAATGATTCAAGCTAGACTTCTTGTCTCTCTGAGGGTCTTTTTAAACATGCAGGCCAAAAGGTGCCTCAACTTCATTTTGTCAAATGTTGCAATACTTTGAGACTTACCTACATTTGCTTTCTAAACATTTCTGATGAAAAGAACAGTGTTGATGCATATTGGTATAGCAACAAACATTTTCCTATCTTGTTTTTTTTTCTCTTAAAGTTATTTTTTTTGGCTGTGAGGTGAAATAAATCACGTGATTTCTTGTTTTGAGCTGGATAAACCCACAAACACACATATACTTAAATCCTTACAGGTATATCAACCTGTTCCTCACTGTGTTTTGTTCTCTGTATCTCTCACTATTCACTAATTTCAGATATATCAGTATCGGTGTTTGTAACAGCCAGTTAATGACAATAACAAAATCAAACACAGAAATCATATTTGGCTTTCATTCAAAGGAATCACCCACCTAATTAATGCAGGCTAGCAGGGTCAGAGGTATAAGAGTATTTAAAATAAACATGAACAGTATTAAATCAGTTTGTTTCTGTTCCCTAAGAGCTCCACAACTGAAGCCATGAAAAGTCTGCCCTTCCTTGGCCAGTTTTTGGGCCGGCTGTGCTGGAACCCTTATGTCACTGCTGATGGTGAGTGAACCTTCTCCTACAGTTTTAACCTAACATTTTGGTGGAGTACAGTGGATGGATCAGGTCCAGAGTAATGCTAGCAACGTAATCTAAAATTAGGTTTTCAGAACTCACAGACAGACAGAGACGATGGTACTGATGCTGAGATTATGGTGTTTAATGTGTTTCTTGGTATCTGCAGATACAAGCAGACGGCTGCTGTTCCAGTGTATGTGGGGACTGTATTCAGAGCATCCCAGCAATGCTGTGGAAAGAAAAGCCAACCAGTGGATACAGGTATGGACTTTCTCTGTTTCTGATAATTCACAACTATAACTTAAGTGATTTAAAGAGCAACAAAGTCTCAGGTAATTATATGTTTTACCTTTATGCCCTTTCTGAGGCACTTCATCTTTGCTTGTACAGTAACTGTGCATTATCTGCACAGCATTTATTTAATTGTGGAAGTTTCAGCTTAAACTGAATTTCAGGGGATGATCAAGGTAGAAATAGGACTGGATGTGCCCTGGTGACCTAGGGGTTAAGGTGCCATTTATGAACTGCAATCCCTGCTTCAAATCTAGCCCTAGGGCCTTTGTAGCAAGTCACACCCCATCTCTGTGTCATCTGATTTCTCTAGTCAAATCTTTACTTTAATGTCTCTAATAAAGGTATAAAATGCCCAATACATACTTATCAAAAAGGAAGGAATATTTTGATACCAGTCCCCTTAGAATACCCCAGTTTTATTACATGATAAATTTTGTTAGTTAAAACATTTGAAAATGCATCTGCATTGTTTTGCATTTTGAGACTTTCAGGCAAGTAAACGACAATTTTTCAGTCATAAATTTCGTCACTGAAAATTTCTTTAAAATGTTGTCTCGTCTCATTGTCGTGAACTCAGTATCGTGTATTGTTTCGTCTCAAGAGCTAAGTGTATTGTCACAACCCTAATAAGAGGTATTTGGTAAATGGACTTGTACTCATATAGCACTGGGAGCAGCTTGGGGTTCAGTGTCTTGCCCACTTCGACATGCACTGGAGAAGCCAGGGATTGTGCTGCCAGCCCTATGGTTATGGGG